AAATTAAATGCTAAATGCTACCAACTAGCACTGTACAAACTACATGCCTAAACTACATGCCTAACCACATGCCTAAACCATCACACACTAGTCTCATAATCAATCTACAGTAGGCTTACTTATGTGTCTTCTGACACTACTCTGATACACTGTTAATGTATAAAAACAGACGAAAGTATGTTAAAAAAACAGCAGGAACCGCCTTAAAACCTGAGTTTTGTCTGTTGCCATTTTTTTGTGATGACAAACTCTCATATAAACCAATGTTTGCTACATTAGCCATGTAGCTCCAGTGCAAAACAAAAGAAGCTACTTCAAATGCCAGACATGTCTTGGCAAAGTGACTAAATTTGGCGTAAGGGGAAAAACGTGTAAATTAGATTTTTCTAAAGCTCTGTTCCTCCTTCCTTTAATGACCTATTCCTCCTCGTAAAACAAGCTCAGGGAAAAAAAAAGAATGTTTGCCTTTTATTCTCTTGCACAAAGAGGAGCAGCGCATCACTGTCTACCCAGCAGAGTGGAGCTTCACTAGGTGGCACCTCTGAAGGCCTGCAGCTGCTGGGCTCGGCTCTGTTTATGTCTTCTTTCCTCGCTTCGAAGCTGTTTCAGTGTCAGTGAGCTCTGGTGAGCAACCTGCTTAAAAGAATCAGTGTTTTTCATTAGTTTCTCTCGGCAGCCTGGTTGAAGTGCTTTCGGGGAGAGAGCGAGCAAGAGAGAGAGAGCTGTGTATGGCTCCAGTATCTTGGGCCTGAATGGAGGCCTGTGTGGGACTTTTGGTGGAACATGCCGTACGTCTGTCCCCACTGACCTCTGGAAAATGAACCGCTGTTAAAACTGTCCGGAATCGGACGGATGGTTCGCTGGATGAAGTTGTTTGCCTTCTCATCGATGTAATTTGATGATTATCGCTCTTTGGGTTTCGCTCTATTGCGGTCCCTGTCCCGGTCATGGGCCGCAGCTTCCAGAGTTTGTTTCTGACGAAAGCCATCCAAAGCATGACCCATCTGATATTAATTTTCTCCTGTAGACAAAAACAACACACAAAAAAACAACCCAACAACAAGCACATGCTCGCGTCCACACATCGGAAGGAAATCAATAAAAGAGGGAGAGGGTGGAAGACAGAATGGAGAGATGAAAGGAACAGCAGAAGGCTTGGAATTTTGAGCAATTTACTTTGGCAAGCCATAGAATTTGTTTGTTACAGAAAACTCATTGAACATCCATCTTCCCCCCCCCCTCACTTTCCCATGTTAGCATTTCCCAGTACAAAGAAATGGACTCTCTTTCATTTCACCCTGGCATGACTTAAAAGAATATTATCTGAATCATCAAGCGGTAAATGAATACTGTATGTATTACACTTTCCATAACAGACAACTATTCATCTTGCCATAGTGTGCTGTCGGAATTATCGGAATCGCAGCTGGGAATATTCATATGAATGGTCTTTTAAGTCATTAGTTTCTTAGTGGCGGCATTAAGCAGCTGAATTCAAGAGCCATTCAGTACTTATATTTTTTTAATATAGCAAATATGTTCAGTATTCGGAAGCAGTCAAAAGTTTGGATGGATTTACAGTTACTTACACATTTTTTCTTTTTTAGAATAATGAAGATATCATAACTATCACAACTATGAAATCACACATGTGGAACTGTACAATGACAAAAAAATGTAAACAATGTAAATAATGTCTTTAAATCCTTCAAATTAGCCTCACTTTGCCTTTATGCAGCTTTCCACACTCTTGGCATTCTCACAAGCAGCTTCATGAGGAGTCAGACGGGTGCTTTTCCAACAGTTTAGAAGTACTTTGGAAATAAATTCATACATAGATATCAGGTTGGCAGTTTATAGTAGTCTTAGAAACAAATTACGCATTTAAGCATAAGCCTTTAGATCAGGGGTCATCAACTGTTGGACCGCAGTCCGGATGCGGACCGAGCAAAGTATTTCAGCGGACCGAACCAAGAGCTTGAAAAAAAAATTATGAATTCAAAGCAGATTACAGTGGTTTTTGCTAACAATCATTTTCATTGCTGAGTTCTCTTTTTCAAATCTCTTCACACAGTTAGCACAAAAATACTCTGTTTGGACCACAGTTTCCAAAATTTTTTCATTCCCTTGCATGCAAACACTGTGACAAAAGTGTTCCATTGAACTCCAGTGAAATAATATAATACGCACATCAATTTACTAAATCACAAATACTATACCAAACAACAATCATAGCAAATAATATATGCAATGCTTATAGTGACAAACTGCTAATTGAATATATGTAAACAGGCCAATCACTATCTGAGCTGAAGTCCTACCCAGTTGTTGACCATCTATACAAATTAGTCACTTCTAGAGTTAGTGCAGTGGTTTATGAGGTGACTGTGCTGTGATTGGCAAAGTATTCCTGCTGCGAGAACACCAGTGTTGATGTTTTGATGATATGAGTTTATTTTGAGGTGTTCCTGCAGTGTTTTTGTAGCTGCAGAGCATTCTGGGTATAAAATGAACTAATGAGTTACACTGCATGTTTCTGCAGAGAGGGGTGTGAAGAGCTGTGAAAAAGTGAACTTGGCACTAAAAACGCGGAAAAAGAAGGTTGTATTTAAGCGACATACGTGAACACGAACCAGCGTGGCTTCTGTAGCAGTCCTGCAGTTCATCCAGTCAGATACGTTTATGTGAATGATTTGGCCGAATGCAGCTCATCAAAACAGAGGCAACAATGCTGGATATCATGTCAGAAAGTGAATACACACATTTTCATGAGTTTTTCATTTACTTGCTATTTCTAGTCTGAGTAGTGACATCATAACATTACATTATAAAGTCGATAGCAAAAGCAGAGGAATAAACAGAGAACACTTTTTTTCCTTGTTTCCAATTCAAAACTGATGTGTTTCATCTGCTCAGAGTCTGAGGCACTAAACAAAAGTGGAAACATTAAGTGGTAGCGCCACTGCTATACAAATCTTCGTTTATCAGAATATATTAGATGTTGCCTATTTTATTTAATTATTTACCTGAATTAAAACATTTGATGTAACTGGACTGTACTGCAAAATAGGAATTCCATCTATTTTTTACAGTTTGTTCATAATTAAATGGATAAGATGTAAATAAAGTCATTCAGAGTGAAATGCGCCATTCTAGAGTAACTTACTGAGTCAGAAGTGTTTACAGTGGTGATGATAGGAATAAATCGTCTATAGAGATTAATGCCTCTAAAAGCTACATCACAGAAAGCTATTACGTGTGAAATGGTTATGATGCCTGAGACATTGTTTTACAATAGTTTTGAGATAAAGTTGTGACCTAAAACATATTTTTAATGTATTTTTGGCACAAAGGTGTGTGTGAGGTGTTGCAAGGCCTAACAGACGTATGTAGATTTGCTGGTTCTTTTCTATAGTAAATAAAATCTGTTGTAGACATTGCGACCCTTGGTTTCTAATCTCCAGCACTGTAAAGAAATCCAAGTTTGCATGTTCCTCTACAGTGCACCATTTTACATCAAACCACTCGGAATGACTTAAGTTGACTTTTGGAATTTAGAGAAAGTGTAGCGTTGGTGCAGAAGAAGATGCAGAAAACATTGAGCATACGGGCAGTTGCTCTTTAATCGAACAGGCACTACAACAGGAGCAAAAAATGCCCAGTCCAGTGCTAACCCAACACCAAACATGGGGAAGGGTGGGTAATGCAGGAGGACACAGCATTCAAGGAGGGTAAACACTTTAAACCACTGGTTAAGTGCAAAGCCCACCCTCCTTGGACACAGTTTACACCAAGCAACACACTGATAACATCAACATCAGCAACAATAGTAACAATGATATGTCCAATCAGGTACATCCAAACTTTTAACAGGTACTGTAATTACAAGTATTTAACACTACAAGCAACTGCAATATATGTCCAATAACTTTATCAGTGAACATCTAACTGTGTAATTGTGAGTTTGGACTATGCCCCTGACTGAGCTTGAGACAGAGAAGGGGAACTCTGAGAAACTCGGGCAGAAGTTCTGGGCAGAGTTGCTGTGGTCGAGGAAGCCCGACTTCCAAAAGAACTCCAGATTGGTTTGATACTAGCTTTTCATGAGCTTGTCTGAGATCTTGGATTCGAGTGCGGATGTAGCTGTGGTGTGCAAAGTTTTCATCACAGGAAACTGAAAAGAGAGGGGAGAATTTATAGGGCGTATGATGGCGGAGGAGGAGTTTTGGGAGTGGTCCCTTTCCCAAATGTATCTCATAACTTAATTTACAGCAAATCTAACAAATTTATAATTTATAACAAATGAAATAACCTTTTTTAAAATTACTTTTCAGAAGTGACTTTTCTGGCTTCAAAGCAGAAATTCACTTTGCAAGTGGGGAAATGGGAGCTTCTACAGAGCACGTGAAGGCAGTGTAAATAACACGAAAATATGTTTTGTTTCATTTTGGACAGGATGGAGGTGGCCCGTTTATACCATAATGAAATCTAAACTCATAACCAAATTCAATAATGATCTCACAGCACGCAAGCCGTTTTGTGTTGTCTTACTCATGTTTTCAGATCGCACAGATAGAACCATTCCAAAAAGTCCTGTGGGCCAACAACAACATCAGTGTCACAACATGCTTGGAATAGTCGGATCCAGTCAACAAATTACACATCCCTGCCTAACCGCAGCCAAATTACTGTTATTTCTCACCAGCAAGTATAGATTGTTTAGAGAAATAAATAACAGCACTATGGCACTGTAATTATTCAATTTTATTTTGCAAAGAAGGCTCTTTTTGAGAGCTCAGTTTGTCCAATATGTGTTTAACTGGGTTAATAAATATGTCTAATGTGTAATACGTATCTTTCAGTAGCAGTGATGCTGTGTAGTAGTGTAAACACAATAAGTAATAAGAAGACAGTGAAAGCCATTATTTCAAATATTTCAAATATGTTCTTGTTGGACATTGAGGCTCTTTTACATCCCCTTCCATTTGTTGTCTCCACAGCTGTTACGGATGGTGACTTCACCAGAGAAGCGATGGAAGGCTCGTCCAGGAGGGGGAGCTGCGAGGAGAGATCCGAACCGGCAGAACCAAGGGGCGGAGGATGAGGAGGGTCTGGAAAGTGGCGACTGTGATGATGAAGATGAGTGTACTGGAGTTTCGGGACTCGGGCCACCCCCACGCCGCAAACGTTTACGCATCTTTGCAGGTCAGTAATGTTGTTCACTTATTGTTGGTAGGGAGCCCTTTAAATCTACTGATGTAACTTGGAGCTGCACTATGTAACATTGAAAAAGGTGTCATTACTGAGTCAGGAGAAAAAAACATGCTAAAATATTGTGTGTGTGTGTGTTTGTGTGTGTGTGTGTGTTTGTGTGTGTGTGTGTGTTCGTGTGCACTGCTGCGAGTTACCTGTAAAGCCTGAAATAGTAAGTTAAAAGTCAGAGGCGTCGGGTTGGATTTAATGGGAGTTTTTCAGACCACATCATATCATTGTAACATCATCATGTGTATGTCACATGCAGAAATTCAGAAAGAATATTCGGCTTGTTTAGGTCTCGAATGCAAAATCGACATTGCACTGATAAAGATATAATGACAATACTTCATTATTCACTTATATATTCAGAAGACGTGTCTTTCACCAAGGTTTGACTGAGTTCTCTTTGAATGCTGTTTCAGCATGCACTGCTTTTTAAGCAGCCAACAGTCATCAGCATACCAAGTCAATTACTGTAACCTCAAGAATTCATAGTTTCAGCATTTAATTATGGCAAATATTACACATCTAGGTTAAATTCAGCTATAGCAACCCCAGCTCCACAGGTAATAGGTGCTTCTCCTTTATCAGTGACCTCCCGACCTCTTTTTTGTCAGAGAGCAGAAAACAATGGAGCTCACTTTGATGCAACACAAAGCGTGAAAGAACCAACAAACCGTACGAATGCAAAGAAACCAAACAAGAAGAAGAATAACAGCAGAGGGGCAGGAACAAGGAGTTTGATACTGACTGACAAAGCCGGCCCAGCTGAACAAACATGGCCAAGGGAGTTGTCCTCCCAGCCATGTTGTTGTGGCAGGAGCTCGAGGCCCTATGGGCAGCACCGCCAGAAGCCCCCAGGGGTGAGGCCAGGAATCTGCTCTGTCCACTGCATATGGAATGGCTGGATATAGTGGATAATCAGCGCTTGGACTGGGGAAGCAGGCAGTAATACCAATCAAACTCGAGTTACAGTTGAGCACTTTCTGAAACTTGAGGCGGTCCACAGCCGTCGGCGGTGTGTTATAGTTCACGCACATGTCCGCCCACCCCGTTTGAGTAGATTTACTGCTTCAATTATTGAGAACGAAGGGAATGCGTTTCACTTGCTGGAGAAAACAGTTGATATAACATTCCTTGGATGAATCTTTGTAAGACACACCAACACTGCATGTGGGAGTGTGTGCATGTGTATGTAAGTGCACATATGGCATCACTGTCATTGTTTACCAGTTGCCTTATACACTGAAGGGACATTCCTTGACCAATGGACCAATACAAGTGACCCATAATTACTTGAAATAGAATATTGTTAGATTAACTGATATAACCATTTCATGTAATAACTTTCTGTGAGGGAGGTTTTAGAGGCATTAAACTCTTCAGATGTCTGGAAACTATCACCACCACTGTATAGAGTAGAGCATTTCACATCAAACCGCTCTCAATAATTTTGTGTAAATCCAAACAGTTTATTATACAAAAGATTGGAAAAATCAGTGGATTTCCCTTTTATGAAGCTACCATTTTGCAGAGATAGGGACTCTAGTCAGTGACTCAGACTTGTTGACTAGACTGAATCATGACTGAACTTGGACTTAAGACCTGTGAAATTTCAGCCTGAGAAAAAAAACATAAACAAAACTGATTAAATCAGGACTGCTAACCTTAAAGCCGTAAATGAGTAAATCCTATCCTTTCCAGTTTTTCATATATGACATTCACATCATCAGTGAATCTGGTCAGAGAGTTTTGTCCCTTAAGTGGCCAAGAACCACTTACTATAACAGCATTTGACTGGCATGCAATATAACCACAGATCCATGTTGTAGTGTGAAGTATAGGAGCAGACAATTTTCAAAACTAGACTATAAGAAAAACAAAATGAAATTTGGTCCATTCATCATGAAATGTACATGCTTCAATGTGCCAAAACATATTATTTTCTAATACTGTACATCTGTATTGTCTGAAATGCCCTGTTAGAACTCCTGTGTCTTTAAGCCCCCCTCATCCTGATGAACCCATTGTGCTCTAATTGGTCAGTTCACCCACTCTGTTCTGATTGGTCAACCACCAAAGCAGCATCCTGCAAAGCTCTGCTGTTACACTGCTGTGGCTATTCTTACAGTGGTGTCGTTTCTGTTCGATCACATCGAGTCAGTGTTCCATCCTGAAAGTCAGGTGGAACAAGTTGGTAGACCTTTTCCCCCTCGCAAGCTAGAAGGCAGTCCTTTGCAGGACATTTCAAAGTGGTTAATTTTTTACTCTGTAGCTCTCTTGTGAGAGGGCATGCCAAGCTTGCCAGTAGGCGGGCAATAAGCATTGCTTTACGAGATTGCATCATCTTGTAACAAAAGAGAAAGGTTGGAATTCCAATAAGCCAGTTAGACAGGTGAGAAAAGTGGTTTCTATGGGAGAGAATTTCTCCCTCTGGCATGTACTGTGGGCTTTGTGACTTTGCAGATGATTTGCATGCACAAAAGCTATATAACACACTAAAGGAAAGGGAAAAATTGGAAAAGCATAATAGAGGTCCCCTTTAAGTGTTTGAGGTGCCAGTATTCAAGTACTGAAATTACTATTTGGATATTCCTTATATTTAATCACAGGGACACAGAGAAAATATACAGGTTAAGGGTTTAGTAAAAGCAATGGGTTTCCTCATATATGTTATACTTTGTAACTTTAAAACACTAGTGCCTGAACACTAGCATGTTGCCAAGGACATGTTGCTAAGGAAGCAGCTGTGAAAGCAGAAATAGCACTTAGTAGGCTAACTACTCTAACTACTCTAACTTCTCTAGATGATGTTAAAGGTCCTCAAACAATGAATCTAATCTGAAGAGACATCTAATACAAAAACCTACAGATTTCCTATACCTATTTTTGAATAATTAAAAATGTTTTCAGGTGTATTACTCTGTGTGATGCTACATTTTTGTGCAACACCCGTGCTGTCACCTAAAAAGTAAAATCCACAGCCCCACATTATTTTTATCATTTTTCCTCCTCTGCAGCTAACTAAATCTGATCATTAACTCTTACAGATACTTGAATATTGTGGCATCTGTGAAGAAGAACTAGTGAATGCCATTTTTTTCCACCCAAGGAAATGCTCATTAATTAAAAAAGTGGAAAAAGCCACTGAAAAACAGACGAAATAGCGGGGAAGGTCACTTCTGGCCATACAACTTTTCTCTATAGTAGACACACAAACCCACACTCACTAACCCACAGCCCAACACAATAAAACACAGCCAACACATAAACACATATTAAACCAACAACGGCAACATAAACAACAACAGGAACAACAAATGTCCTATTAATGGTGCGCGCGGCACAGCTTTGTATACCATGCCCCTAAAGCCGCTTCTGAAACACGGTGTCAAAATGAATCAAACAGCATATCTCTAGTCATGAGCACTCGTTACAGCAATGGCATTATTCTGCATCTTGCAGCAGCGTTTAATACGGCTTCAAATAATGTGAGCCTTTCATTATAAAAACACCTTCAGTCTGATCAGCTGAAGCGTTACAGTACATTAAAGTAAAGAAGCAAAACAACTTGGTTGCTAGCATGTGGTTTTGATAGCAAATATGCTAGGTAGTGCAGTAACTAATACGTTGTTAGCTAGTCTAGTTACAGTCACATTCCATTAAAACTCAGCTGGATTAGCTCTTACACTAACTGTCTAGCATACTTGCTATACAAACTACAGACCAACCAGCAGTTTCAAGTTGTTTCCTTTTTCCTTTGAACTTTCTGCATGCGTTGTTTTACTCCTGTCCTCATCATTTGAAACCATGTCAAGGCTCACAGGTTTTTAGTAAGGGTTTACTTTTGCACAATGCAATGCCTGCAGCTAATAACAAACTAAAACGCTCCACTAAAAACTTTAAGGCTCAACTCAGACTTGCCTCAAGTGATGCAAGGATTTCTTATAAAAATGGCAAAAATGTGAGCCTGTGGCCATTCCTGATGAGGCAGGAACAGAGATAGCAGATACCGATTGGTCAGTAGCTGCTGATGACCCAGTAGAATATGGATGACCCCTGTGTTTTTTCATCCTCATTTTGGACAAGCAGGGAGGGGGAGCCAGGGGTCATTGTGCCAAAGGTCATCTGCTGGCAGATTCTCTAATGGGAGGCCTGTCTGTGCCTGGTGCCAGGAGATGGACGATGGGGATCTGGTTTCACAAAGCTCTGCCGAGGGAAGAAAGCCCCTGCGCTGCTAGCACTGGGGTCTGGGAGAGGTGACTGGCAAGTCAGCAACAAGGTGCAGACAGCCTGCGGCCTGGACTCAGACCCCCTTAAGTCAAAGCTGTCAGCCAGACGACCACATCAGGGATGTTCCAAATGATCCAGAGTGATTGATCGATTGCAAGTCGCTCTGCTGCATCTCCCCCCAGGCCTCCCACCCAGTGCCCCACTATTCCCTCTCTGGGCATGGAATTCTGCCCCCAGCATTCTCAGGAGCATTCCAGGCCAGTAGAGCTATTTCCAGGCCAGGCCGTGTGTGTGTGTGTCCTGTCCAGACACCCAATCATACATGCAGTCACCACTAGCGTCCTGTCTGGCTACCCCTTAACACATTTAACCCACTAATAGTCGCTCAGTTTGGCCAGTGCAGTGCAGCTCAAATCTAAATATGTCATTCTTTAATGATCAAGTTTTTCAGCCTAGCTGCTGAGGCATGTGCCCATTGGCTTCTACTGTAAGTGTGTTTTGAATGAATGTGTTTTCTTATACTAAATACAAGAAATTGTGTTGAAGTTATTATTATCTGTGGTAACTGAAAATGTGTGGGCCTGTCACATTTTTTACATAATCACCTGATCACAATTATGTAAGGTGATCGCAAGTATTTTCCACTGTTGTTAGGTTTCACATGGTTTTACATAGCATGTGAATTGGGTGTGTTTTCATCTGTGGGGTCAAGGCAA